AAAATTAGCGATTTTTAAATTTGTAATTTTTTTGGAGGTTTCCCCCATTTACGGGGAACGAGGGAAATTTTTTCAATTTTGAAGGGTAATGTCTTCGACTAGATACAATTTGTGATCGTTTGACGTATCGTTGAAAGAAATCGGTTCGGTGAGAGCTGAGAAAAAGTGGTAAGAGACACAAAAAAAAAAAAAAAAACACATCTTAGTAAAACCAATACCTTCTCAGCTTCGCATCGAAGCTAAAAAATGGTATCAAAAATAGAGGGACGTCTAATAATAATTAATGAAAAACTCTTTTTATAATTTAGTACAGTATATTTGACTATACATGTATAACATTATGAAAATGTCAAAAACTCTAAAACTAAAAATTTGTTTATCGCCAAAATCCTAATAACAATCCATTAAAAAATTGGGTTAAATTGTTTTATATATTTAATTCAAGTATTCAGGTTATTATTAAAAAAACACATTCATTACAACAACAATCACCGAACTTGATATTTAATAACACATATTAACATAATTATCAAAAAGTTTGAAGAATATCATATTTTAATTTATAAATATATTTTTGTATGAAGATAGAAATTTTTACATGTTATTAGGCTTAACATATGTCAAGCTATTTTTAATTAAAATAAAATTTCCCAACAGTATAAAAATAAATAACAATTAAATTTTAAAATGGTACATAAATTGCAAAAATTGAAAAAATCATTTAAAATAAATATTATATTAATAATAACGATAAAATAATGATGCAATAAATCATTAAATAGATATTGAAAAGATATTTGTAAACTTTTGACAGTTAATGTGTTTAAGCTTACATGAATTATTCTAAGTAAGAAATTGTATATTTTAGAATATAGATTACTTTCTTTCTTATTATATTGATATGAAAAAAATGGTTAAAAATTTTGAAACCTTTTTAAACTAATAATAAGTAGTTATAAGTAATTATTTTTTTTTTTTATAAAAAACAAACTCACTCTTTTCTATTTTTTTCCAACTGTAAATGATTAGCATGATTTTTAAACACAGATTCAGCTTCACCAGTTTCTAAAACATCACAAGGAATTCTTCTATCATCTCTTTCACTACCTTTTTCCTTCATTTCTAATTCACATTCTGTCCATGGAATATCATCTGGACATTTATAAAAATAATTGTTAAATTCAGGATGCTCCTTAATATGCTTTTGAACAGTTGGCCAATCCCTGTAATCACATATAAAATACAATAGATTTAAATATCTACAGAGTAATTTTTTATCCTGAAACACTTAATTAATCGAATAATCTAAATCATATAAACATTTTTAAATGACAAAATATACAGAGTGATCAGTTTATCATAATCAACTCCATTACTCTCAAAATAAATACATTATTAAAAAAAACTTTTTGCTTTTTTTAGTTACATGCCGTAGCTTAAAAAGCAATCCCACCTATCCCACCTATTGGTCGAATGAATTAACAACACTGTTTTATGTAAAATTTCACAAGGAATCAAATAATGGATTTAATTTTTTTATAAAATCAATAGATAACACATTAATGAAATAGTAAAAAAATCATGACAAATACTATAAATTTAATATAAAATTGTTTTTTGCTCTTTTTCAAAACTGACAAAAATGATGTAGTGTTGCTTCTTAAGCAACAATATATTCTTTGATTTGTCAACTAATAATTATATTTTAGAATCATTCCTTATGATTTATAAAAGTGTCAAGTTTATTTTTTCAAAAGGCATCATACATAATTTTAATTCAATCATTATCTATCAAATAAGCTAGTTAATTATGTAAATGGGGCTATTTGAAATAAATAAATCAAGAAGTATATGTAACTAAAAAAATCAAAATTTTATTTCCAATATCAGATTAATTTTATGAGTAATACTGAACTTTTGGTCAAGTATTTCAGAAGTTATAAATATTTTTATACCTAAGAGGAAGGAAAAGTAAGGCCAGAAAATTACTAATCATAAAAATAACAATGTTGTGTCTCACCCTTAGCCTTTATTTAAAATTATTGTAACTTCTGAAATACTGGTTCAAAGATGTTATCAACCAGTTAATTTCATTAATTAGATTATCCATTAAATAGGATAGTTAATAATGTATTTGAAAAAACAAGTTGACACCCTTATATACTATAAGGATGAACATAAAAAATACTTCATGACTGATAAATTGAGAAAAATATGGAACTAAACAGAACCAATAAAAACATGATTAATACTATTTTTATTTTTCAATTATATAAGTAGTTCATAGTAAATAAATTACTCTGTATATTTAAATTATAAGCAACAAATATNTATATATTTAAATTATAAACAACAAATATTTGAAAATTTATTCGTTGTTAAATGAAACAACAATTATTAAACAAAAAATACAACTATCCTAAAAGTAACATAAGAATATCCTTTGTGATAATTTACCCATCTTTCAGCGTAGAAATCTCAGGTACTAATTCTTGTAAAATATCAGGCAACATTTCCATATAATTTTGAACTCTTTTAGATACTTGTTCATCTTTTAACATTTTAACATGTCGCCTAAAAATTCGTTGAGCTTTATCTGACCCAAAAATTTCTTTATATTTCACATATTCATCATACTTCATTAATTTTTTTGAAGTTTGGCTCCATAAAGCACGATAATCAGTTACCTTATTTAAGGAAAAAAATTAATTCATTAAAATTAAATACTTTTTCTTTTTTAATTTTACTGATTAATTTATAAATTTTATCAATATATTAATTCATTATTACAATAAAATTTTATTACTTGTGAATGAATCAATGTTTGATATGCATCAGTAGTGCTATCTAATAGTTCTTTTCGCATGCGAACTGCTTCTAAATAAGGTACTATTTTTGTTCGACCTTTAAATCGATCAATAAGATGAGCAAGTGCAATAAATGCAGTATCAACATTTATATTTTGATGAGCTGAAGTTTCAATTATTGGAATGGCCCCTTTGAATTCTTTGCGTGCTGCAAGTTTTTCTACTTCTTTAACATAAGCTTCATTAAATTCATCATTTTTTGTAGTTACTATAACCACAGGTTTTTTTGTTTTTATTATATTCAGTAATATATTTGTCACAGCTTCTAATTGTTTTTCTATACTACGACTAGGTACTACACTGACATCAAATACACACAAAAAACCATCAACATTAAATTTACCATCAGGTAATACTTTTTGTTCATATTCTTTTTCAATGCCTAATTTTAAAGTATTGAATATCAATTAAAAAAATTGTTTTAGCATTAATATACTATATATCTTATCTATACCTCAAAAATAGAGTAATGCAAGTAATATTTACCAAATTTTAAAGGAAATAATACTAAAAAAAGTTAATTTTTCTTATTACAAAATTTATAATTTTGATAGAGGAGATAGCATGTAAAATATAATAAAAGTAATAAATAATATAATTTTATAGTATTTGTGATATATATAATATATATAATCATTAGGAAATTAAATAAATAGTAAAATTATAATTATGTTAATTTTACTATCAATTTATGTCAGTTTAGTTTAAAATTTCAATTGTTTATAAATTATACAACTGGAAATTATTATATAACAACAAATAGTTTAGACTTAGCCATAAAACTACAATAGACTGGTAAATTGTTATTTTTAGACTTACATTAATCTTGTTCTGAAGTTCAAAACCATGNTTTTAGACTTACATTAATCTTGTTCTGAAGTTCAAAACCATGATTTAATAACATAAGTAATTCATTTTTTTACATAATAAATATTATTTATTCAAAAAATAAATACCTAATTGATTTTTACATATGTACATTAGTTTTTCAGCCGAAGTGAGTTTTGTACCTGCACATCTTTTAACATAGGGTTCCATTTTTCCTCCTAAATTTAAAAATAATAAATTTGAGATAAAATTTTTTTTTAAAATAAATACTTAGTGCTTTTACAAAATTTACCTTTAAATGGTTGAAAAGAAGAATCATCAATAAACTCAGTTTGCTCAATAACTTGGAATGTAAAATCAATTCCTTCTTCAGAAGTTTTTGTAACATCACCCCAGTACAAAAAGTGATCATTATTTACCACACGTCCACTAAAATCCGACTAAAAAAAATTTTATACTTAATTAATCAATAAACTTATATTAAGAATTATGTATAATACATAATTATATTAATTATGTATATTGATATTAATGAATATTAATACCATATAAAAAAGGTAAATAAAATTTTTGATGAAATCAAGTTAAGATTTTTATTTATTTTTAGAATGTATATACTTAGTAGGCAATGAATACAAATAATACAACAATATTAAGAAGCCTAAAAATATGTTATATTATATGTTCAAAGAAGTTAGAAAGATTTTTGCCAAATAAAGGTAAACATTTATAGTATGAGCTTACCAATCCTGAGATTCTTAAACTTTAATTTGTCTTACTGGAAAACAATTTAAACTTTTACATGCAATCATACAAAATAGTTATCTCAGATCGTAACAATAAGTTTTATTCTCTTAATTCAGTTAATGAATTAACCAAATCATTAATAGCTATTTTAAGTATAGAAAATTAACGTCAATAATAGAATCCATTTTTTGTGATATTGCATTTATTTTTGAGTCAGTTTTTGAAGCTACCTCTACTTTGATAAGTCATTTATTGAATAATCAGAACTTGAACTTTGTAAGTTAATACAACCAATTTTTTTAGTAGGCGTTTTATTTGACATTGTACTTAAAAAAAATAAATAATAAGTAATAATAATAATAATTTTACGCACAAACAAGAAAAGTCAATGAGCACAACTATAATGATAATATATGCATGTCCATATACATTAACAGCTAATACTATAATGTACAATATTAATACCATACAACAGGGATAAATAAAGTTTTTGGAGAAATTAAATTAAGATATGAAAAAAACTGAGCTCTTATAAATCAACGATAAGTATTTAAATCTGAAATATCATTATTTTATAGGGTTACAAAATGTTGAATTACCATTAATCTATAAAGCAATACAAAATTTGAAATGAAGATCTTGGATTACACTATTGGTATATAGTATATATGTTACAAAGTAAATAATAGAGCAATGCATACATTGCCTGATTTTTGTGTGTCATGTGAAATAATTGAACATATAGACTGGGTAATGTATACCATGACTAAAATAAAATGTGCTAAATAATTTTTTTATAATTTAAACAGTAATAACTCAATTCAATAACAATGTTCTAGAAAGGCCACCAGTCACATTATAAATTACATAAAACACTAGTTCCTAAACATTTATAACTTTTTGTAACACATTTGTATACATTTTTTATGATCTAACCACCTAAATTAAAAATAGACAAGCTACTTCTTTAAACTCAATATTGAGTACTTTATGAACATTAACAAACTTCTCCATTTAAAAGGTATATAGATTTCTATTGAAGAGTGTGCAATATCTATTAAATTTTAGTCAAAAGTTTACATTACACACATCAGTTTTGGCTTAGTATAAAATAACCAGACATTGTAATAGAATACGAAGTTAATATAAAAAATTATGCTAAAATATGTAGACATAGAATATATATAAAGTTTCTATATATTCTTATTTATATTATTTATATTTATATCATAAACCCTTATATAATATAAGAGATGAACACAAAAAAGTACTTCATAACTGATAAATTGAGAAAAATATGGAACTAAACAAAACCAATAAAAACATGGTCAATGTTATTTTTATTTTTCAATTATATAAGTAGTTCATGATAAATGAAATATCTTGTATACATTAATTATTATTAATTAATGTTTCCTATGTCATAACACAATATAACATATTTTACTTCATATGTATTGGGTCTTGAATTATCACAATTATGATAAATAGTTATAGTTATTAGCAGAGATGTACATATGACATTTTCCAGTTTGAGTTAGACAAAAAAAAATTTTTCATATCCCCAAGGAATTTTAAAGTCATATAATTTTTTTAGGGTTCTAGGGCAGATTTTGACTGGAAATCCACCCTGTAAAAATACTTTTGGCTGTAGTCACTCCAGTCAAAACAAAATAATTAATTAAGTATAGAATAAACCAACTTACAAACAACAAGACAATAGTTTTTTTTGTGTATAAAACCTTTTTTCCTTGCTAATTCCTCCAAAAAAAAAAGGTTACTTATTTGATGAGTATACATTTTAATTGAATGGAGAAGTAATACTCTATAACATTGCAATAAATACTCATGAAAATATTTCCTACATTACAAAATGTAAGTGTAGGAAACCCTACCAATAACTGTAGCAAATTAAAAAAGAAAACACTGAATATTAACGAATTTATTTAAATGCTAATAAAAAGTATCCTCAATATTAGAAGATTTTATTTCATTGCTTATTATAGATAATATTTTTTTNAATTTAATAAACTTTTATATTAGTAATTGTTCATTTCTTGAACAAGGCATATTTAAAGAGTATTAAGATATTGATAAACTAAGTTAATTTTAATAGAGGTTTGTAATCAGAGGCAAATAATGACTTTAGTGCATTTATCGCTCCTTAAATGTCAATCAAGGGTTTTGTGATCAGCATTTTTAGATTAAATAGTAGACTTCTAGTAAAAAATAAATATGTATAATAAATAATAAAAATCGTTTAAAAAAAAAAAATTTTTAATTTTTTAAATAACTTTGAATAGAAAAGTTTAATTGTTTGTTATTATCAGATAATATGTTGTTTTTAACCTAAAATTTATAAAAATATAACTAATTTTTGATCTTTTTATACTGCTAACCTATTTTCAATAACTAAATGATCTAAACTAAACAAAAAAATATTAAAATTATCTAATTTATACTTAAAAACTAATAAGCCTAATTCAAGTGTTAAAATAATTCATCAATAGCAACAAAAATTTTTTTGTACATAAATAACTATTGAATACTTTTTATAAAAATTAATATTATTAATTATTTAACAATAAAATTACAAGAAAATTTTTGAATTTATATTTTAAAATTAGGATAATATTCTTATATTTATCATACATATGTATGTATAATATGTCATTAAAAATTTGATGGTGACCTACCTTTTATAGGAAATATTTTAGTAATAAATTTTATAGTATAAAAGAAATAATACAAACTTTTCAGTTATTGTTTATTAAAAATACCGTAAAACCAGTAAAATATAATTATAACGCCAAATAAAATTTATAACACTAATTATAAAAGTACTCACTTAAAAGTAGTAAAGCTGGATTAGATGAAAACGGATCCATTTATACATAATTAACAAATACCTAAATCGGATTTTTGTAATGTATCGATTTCGCAGGTGGCAAATATAAATGCAAAAAACGAGTTGTTTTTGATAAACTTAAACGGTAACATATAATGCAAACGTCGACTAGTTGATAGGATATAATCTTCTGTGGTGGCTATTTAGTAATATACATTATTAAAGGCAAATAAGACAATTTTTACCAAAATGAGTTTAATTTCATTGCCCATTGCCTATCAAAAATCTTAGCACCACTATCATTTTCAGATCCAGAAGTATAGAACAAAATAAAAAGCGAGACAATTGATATCAATATTTTTGTAGCCCGGCACACGGTTGCCAACTGAACTTAGAATGAGTGCCGTAACAACGGACAAATATATAACACGGACTTATACAAAAGGGTGCATATATTGGGACCTTATTGGGGTGTTTTACAGGGCCGTAGGGTGTTTTTATCTTTACTTATAATTAGAGTACCATGCAACTAGGTCAATAGAAATATTAAAATCCATTAAAAGTAAATGCAATAGTCATACCATAGTTAAATTTTTTTTTTAATTATTTAGTATTCAAATTAATTTTTTTTAACATTTATTGTTATACACTGATAAAGTGTTATCAATATCGAAAATTAAATATTTATTTAAATTGAAATTGTGATCATAGATTAAATACATTAAATATAATTAATAAATATTTCACTTAGACTTGATACTGGTAAGTTAAGAAATTAAACATCAAATAATATAAAAATCTTGACAGTGGACAAATCGGTAACGAGAAAGTTGTATGTAATAAGTTAAGATTCTCAACACTAAGAGAAAATTAAAAAAATCAAATAATAGTCAAATTTAAATTAATATTAATACAATAAAAAATACACATTATATCGAATTCGTATTTAAAACGAAAAGTTTCATTTTAATCAAATAAGCAATCGCCTTTTGGTAACAACTGTTTCTTATCTTAATTTGCGCTAATGGTGTTAGCCGTATATCAATAATCGCGGCTATTACTTGAATATCAACAAACTGGACAGTTATTAATAATAACTTATTATTAAATATTTAATATTTCTCGAGAGGTTATGTAGCGCTATCTTTACGGGTATAAATTTACAAAAAATCGGTTGCCAATTGTCTGAATGCCGTGGTTTATCTATGTGTATTTAATCTATGCTATGATTTTTGAATGTGCATGAAGCTACGAATTCCTAATCCACCAACTTCTTATCACTAACAAATTTCAGCTACCAATATATTATACAGTATAAAGCTTTTTCTTATCGATAGATGTAGAAACATAATACCAAAAAGCATACATTAAACCCATTCACCGGTCGTATACAAAACAAAGATCTGACGCCTGGTGGAAGCATAAATACACTACTATCATAAACACCGCCGTACCAATTCGGATGATTGAGAGCGACCACTGATTTATCAACTTAGCATTTGATATTATATTATAGAGAATTTTATAAGCTTTTAGAATATGTAATTAAGTTGAAAAAGTTAATTTTTTGTGAATAAAGTTGGCAGGTTAAGGGTCAGATATATAAAAATATATATATCAAATGATAGGTAAGGACATAATGTATCTATAAAAAAAAATTATATTGAATTTTGAAAAAGTTATGGCAGTTTTAAGTAAAAAAAAATTGAAAAAATTAGCGATTTTTAAATTTGTAATTTTTTTTGAGATTTCCCCCATTTACGGGGAACAAGGGAAATTTTTTCAATTTTTGAAGGTAATGTCTTTAACTAGATACGATTTGTGATCTTTTGACGTATTGTTGAA